TGAAATTACTTTTTATTGTATCCTCGATATTACTCTGCTACGTACCAGCTAACCACAGTTAACTCAACTCAAGCGATACAAGACAGCGCTGAGTTAAGTTGTCATGAATCATGCGGATTACAGATGGTCATGTCTACAAAATTTTCGGTCCTAGTAAAACTAACTTGAACTTGAGTTATCGTAAACACCCATTGTTAACAAGCGCTTTGCGGTCTGTTCTTTTTAGCTGAACTTCTTGCACTATTCATTTTTCGTTTTTTAAAAACAGGGAGTTGATTCTGTATCACGCAGTGTAGTGAAAATTACAAAAGTGAGCGAATTTACTAAAATATCTATGATCTTTTTGGTCAACAACTAGTAAATTTGTTCACTTTTGTGATTTTCACTACATTGCATGGATACACAATCGACTCCCAGTTCAGCTAAACAAACAGACCTAGAGAAAAAGAACAAACCTAGGGAGTGTCCTGGATAATGTTGTAGCGTTATGTAGCGTCGCGTTTGTGCAAATGTTCGAATTTTTTTATTTTACCTTTTGAGGCTCAATTTGTTTTACATCGTGTACATACAACAGAGGTTTAGTGTGTGTTTAAGTAAACATTCCGATTTCTACTGCTGATATTGAACGTTTAAATGAAATTATCACGTTCTAGCAATCAAGAAGAGTTCAATAAGAACGTCATCTACAAAGGAGTGTCTTCTAAGAATTGAATTTTCTTAATTCTTTTAATTTTAATATATTTGCAGTTTAATCCTTTAGTCAGAGTTTAGTATATGAGTACTATACAGTATTGAAATAATACTGTATATTATTGAATTTTTACAATGTTTATGTAATTATAAAATAGTCAAAATGATGTATTTATTGAATGTTGTGGCGATATTCTCGCTTATTCTGTCAGCATTTGCGCAAAATGTCTTACATGGAGAATCAATTTATGAGTGTCCTCAACATTGGATACGATTTCAAGAATCATGCTATCGCTTTATTAAAAGTCCATTGAGACTACGAGAGGATGCGCGAAAGAACTGTCAGGCATTTCAAAGTGATTTACTCACAATTAACTCTTTGGATGAGCATAGCTTTGTGCTCTATCAGTTGCTAAGGCAAGATCCACAACATCATACATGGTACACTGGAGTAAAATATCAAAGTGGTATATGGATAAATGAAGCTGACGGTACAACTCTAATAAATATGGATAATGCCTTTCTGCCTGAGTCTAATGATAATACAGTAGGAAGAGATTATTTGGCATATTCTTACTCCAATAATCTCAGAAGATGGGGATTAGAAAAAGTTACTGGTAGAGAAATGCTTTTGTACATCTGTGAAGCACATATTACTACTCTATATGTGTTATTAGAAGACAATCGAACTTATCACTATGGTGTGGATATTGATAACCCTCTTCAGATACCTAGAGGTCCATATTTTATAAAACAGCCTGTTAATAAAGTATTTGCTGTATCTAAGAGCAAGACAAGCAACAACATCGCATTGAGCTGTTTAGCTAGTGGTTATCCTACTCCAACATATGAATGGTTTAAAGAAGATTATAAAGATGATCGACGTATTGCAACAAAAATAGATCCTCTTTTAAATAGTAGATATACTGTGAGTGGAGGAACACTGATCATCTATGAACCAGTTGAAGTAATTATGTTATGTGTTTGGTATAGAAAAAAGTTTTTTATGCATCATGAATAGTTTTTGGCTCTTAAATGGCCTAATTTTGTATCACTTTGATTACTTTTTCAAATCTTGAAAATGTTCTTTTAATATTTATATTTTTTAATAAATAATGAATCTTGGCTATTGAAGCAATAACACTGTTGTTAGAGTGTAATATAAAAGTATAAATATAAAAGTAAGTTTTTGATTATTGACAAGTGGAAGACAAAACTTCTCTCCTAATTGTAGTAAGTTTTTGATTATTGACAGGTGGAAGACAAAACTTCTCTCCTAATTGTAGTAAGTTTTTGATTATTGACAAGTGGAAGACAAAACTTCTCGTCCACCTTTACATGTAAGATACGTTGATGACATAGCTCTTATGGTTCCTAAAGAGCAATTTGNTGCTGTTTTAAATCTGTACAATAATTATCATCCACGTCTTCAGTTCACTTTGGAGGTGGGTGGTGATAGCTCAATTTTTTAGACATGACTATTATTAAAGATAATAATAAATTAATACATGACTGGTATCACAAGCCTACGTTTTCGGGTAGATACCTCAACTTTTTATCTAACCATCCTACATGTCAAAAAAAGGCACGGTTATTAGCCTTGTGGACAGAGCCTTCTTTTTATCACATCCGAAATTTCATTCAAAAAACTTTGACTTTATTTTTAATTTATTACTTGACAATAATTATCCTATGGACTTTATTTTTGACAATCTTATAATCAGACTGAAACAGAATTTTTATAAAAATAATGACATAAGAAGGTTTTTTGTCTAACAAGAATTCTAATGAAAAGCAGCATCACTGGTTTGTCTTACCTTATATCAATAAATTTTCTGAGAGATTTTCTAATATATTTCCTACTGACTCTCACACACGTTTAGCTTATTTTAACCTAGACAAACTGAGAAAATTCATCAACGTTCTTAAGGATCCTTTACCTCTTTTTTCACATCCTTCCGTGGTATATAAGATCAATTGCCGCGATTGTGCAGCTTCTTATGTAGGACAAACTGGCAGAATGTTACAGGCCAGAATTAAGGAGCATAAATGTCACATCAATAGAAATTCCACTCAGAAGTCTGTAATTACTGAACATAGACATCAATTTTCACATGATTTTGAGTGGGATAATGTAGAAATTTTGGACTTTGAGAGATCATACAGAAAAAGGTTGGTGTCAGAAATGCTCCACATAAAAAGTCAAGTCAGCGGACTTAATTTACAGTGCGATACAGATAATTTAGATAATGCCTATTTACCGTTTGTCGATAAGACATCGTAAATTGATATGTTTTTTCGTTAAATTTGAATTTTGTCTTTACACATGCGTTGTTTCCCAGTCGCATTTCCACCTTTGTAAAGTGTTGGTCGGGATGGCTAGTGTGGATATCCACGATCAACATTGAACGACCTATTTTTTACAATATAATCTGTAAGTGACTCTGTATATTTTGTATTTTTTGCGATTTTTGTTCAAATCTTTTTTGTAATTTTTATTATTTGTATTCTAATATTTGTTTTTACACGTTATTTATTGTAGATATGCATTTGAAAAGGACCTAATACAAGGTCGAAAGCGTTCATGCTTATTTATTTATTTAATTGTATAATAAACGGATTTAATCACATACACTCTAACAACAGTGTTATTGCTTCAATAGCCAAGATTCATTATTTATTTGAAATTTCTCGAAGCTTTATACTATCATCTTTACATATTTATATTTTTTATTACTTTTAACTTACAGAAGAAAGATCATGGTTCATATCATTGCAAAGCAACTAACAAATTTGGCACAATTATATCTGAGAGTGTGCAGTTGTCATTTGAGAATATTAAAGAGTTTAACTTAAAACGGACAGGACAACGTGGAAATAATCATTGGGGCAAAGTAATTGACTGTGATGCACCAAAGGAACTTTCAGGCATCAAATATTTATGGGCACGTGATTTCTTCCCTCAACTTGTTGAGGAAGATAAACGTGTGTTTGTCTCATATGATGGATCACTTTATTTCTCAGCATTGGAAACAATCGATCAAGGGAACTATTCGTGTAATATTCAAAGCGCATCTGATAATGGACGAAATGGCCCATTTTTCCCATTAAGGGTGGACATGCACTGTATTTATATCTTTAAATTTGTTTTTAAGAATGCTTTCTAGCTATGTACACAGGTGACACTGTGTAACACAGTTTCTATTAGTGTTAGAAAGACCATATCAGTATCTCACTCACACCAGTGGACACTGTGTTACACAGTGTTACCTGTGTACATAGATGGAAAGCACTCTAAATATTCAACAGTGTAATAGATAATTATTAAATATAATAACTTTTTGTGGTTTAGCTACCTTTCAACAGCTTCAATTTCCTAATACGTTTCCAAAGGCATTCCCAGGATCGCCAATAGCCGGAGAAGATGTAAGAATTGAGTGTATTGCATTTGGATAGTAAGTTTTCTTGTATTTTAACATTTAATATATTTTCCTATATTTTAACATTTTTTCTACGTGCAAGAGTATATGAACTTTTATGACTATAATGAATACATTCTTAGTCCCGTGCCGTCGTACAATTGGACAAGGATAGGTTCCGATTTGCCGCGCGGAGCGTATACGATGAATTATAAGCGAGTATTGATATTACCTCGCGTACGCGTGGAAGATCAGGGCGAATACGTTTGCCACGTGTTCAACGACAAGCAGTTAATTAAGAACTCCATACAATTGAAAATAGAAGCAGCACCTAATTTTACCATTCCTTTGGTCGATAAGCATATGGATAACAGAGCAGATTTAACTTGGACTTGTGAGGCATTTGGCATACCGGATGTTAATTACACTTGGTTTAGAAACGGTGAACTTTTGGACATGTATACTTTACCACCAGAAGACAGAGATCGCTATAATATACGAGATAACGTGCTGAGCATAAAACATCTTGATCCCGAAAGAGATCAGGCTATGTATCAGTGCTGCGCAACAAATGCGCACAAAACAACATACTCGTCAGCGCAACTTAGAGTTCTGTGTGAGTATTTAAATAAAAAAAAAACAAATTTATAATAAAATTTATTTATTATAAAAAATACTAAACATATTTATTTAAATGTTCTTATATTTTATTATAATTTATGACAGAAATAATGTGTGAAAGAAATTATACTATCAAAAAGTAAAGTATGTTATGTGTAATAAAATATTAATTTTTTGAATACTTTTAGCATTAAAACCTTCATTTAAAAAACGGCCTATGGAATCCGAGACGTATGCCGCAGAAGGAGGTAATGTCACAATTGTGTGTAAACCAGAAGCCGCGCCTAGACCAAAATTTGTATGGAAGAAAGATGGAAACGTAATCGGATCAGGAGGAAGACGAAAGATTCTGGATACAGGAAATCTTATTATTAGTCCGGTGTCGCGAGATGATGAAGGAACGTATGTGTGCACAGCGACAAATCAATATGGTACCGATGAAACTCGTGGACGATTAATTGTGTTACGTAAGTTGAAGCTTTTAATTGATTCTAAAATTATCTTGGATCTAAACTATCTTAGATATTTTTTAATTTATAAAAGAAATTGTGTGTGTGTGTGTGTGCGTGCGTGCGTGCGTGCGTGTGCATGCGTGCGTCTGCGTGTGCGCGCGCGCGTGTATATATATAAACATCAAACATTATTAACTAAATATATTAATAAAATAAGTATATTAACGATAAACATTATATATAAATAATATTGTTATTCAGGCGGACCACAATTTATTGAAAGATTGCCACCACGGTTACTTATGTCTTACAACCAAAATCAGACATTGCGCTGCTTAGGTTACACAGATGAAATGTTGGATGTAGCATATATTTGGAAGCACAACGGTATGCGTATTCGCGATAAAGACTTACGAAATAACCCACGATGGCATATCGACGGTGAATATTTGGATATTATAAACACCACGTTTGCTGAAGCCGGAGAGTATGAATGCATCTTGAGAAGTGCAGTCGGTGAAATTTCAAGCAAGACCAATTTAATCGTGGAAGGACCGCCTGGACCGCCCGGTGGAGTGCAAGTGGTGAATATCCTCAAAACTTCGGCCACATTACAATGGACCGATGGTGCCTTGAACGGTAGACCAATAACTATGTATACAATCAGTGCGCAAACTAATTGGAATCACACATGGTTTCCTCTTATAGAAAGTAAGTAAAAGCTCAGTCTTCAATAATCATAACTTTCACAATATTTTATTTCAACAAAACTATTTTGTGCGCGTGCGTGACTAACTTCTTGTTTGTGTTAACTTTTCTATAATATTTTTTATATTATATCTGTTTTACTCTATTTTTACTATAGCTTTTTCCGGATAAATATATTCCAAAGTTCTTTTTACTTTTTTTAGATATTACGGCTATTGAAATCGATAGATATACCGGTCGAAAACAGGCAACCATAACGAATGTTTTAAATCCTTATTCTACATACTTGTTTCGCGTATCGGCTTTCAATGAATTTGGTTATGGTCCTCCATCAGCTCCATCACCTCAATATAGCACAGCGCCCGAAAGACCTACGAAAGCACCGTCAAATATAGGTGGAGGTGGCGGCAAAATTGGAGATCTCACAATCACATGGGATCCTCTCGGTCCGTCCGATCAGAACGGTCCTAGACTTTATTACAAAATATTCTGGCGTCGCAAAGGACATGATACAGAGTTTCAATCGTTGTCTTTGGACAAGTACGGCAACGTCGGCAGTAGTGTTGTGCAAATTCAACAAATATATTACTACACAGAATATGAAGTAAAAGTGCAAGCAATTAATGACATAGGTGAGGGTCCTATATCGGAAGTGCGGACGATATACAGCGCGGAAGATATGCCGCAGGTTGCGCCACAGCAAGTAGTCGCTATGAGTTACAATAGCACTAGTTTGAACGTTAGTTGGGTGCCGATCGAACAGACACGCGAACGAGTACGAGGCAAATTAATTGGTCATAGAATTAAATATTGGAAGCAAAGTAATCGCGAAGAGGATGCGACTTATTACTTGTCGCGCACCACACGTCCTTGGTCGCTAGTCGTGGGACTGCAACCGGATACATATTATTTCGTAAAGGTAGAATAGAAAATATGTAACTTTTATTTAGGAAATATTTATATCTTTATAAATCTTAGGAGAAATAAGGTAAATACGATTATACAATATCTTGACACACACATATGTTGTTAAAGACACTCCTGAGTAACAATCAAAAAGTTTTAGCCGTCGCTCATTGTTCATTAAAAAGTTATTAGCAAAAAATATTTGAAAAAATGATACTTATTTTAACATGTAGAATAGGAGTGACGGACTTTTTCTCCGCCAAGTACCATATGATTCTCTTTTTACTTGCTTCGATAACCTCCACAATATATAGTTTGTTTTAAGTACTGCGACAACATTTTCACATTCCCATTACTATCGCGACTTATATATTTTAATTAACTATACTTTCCGTAATATAAGCAGAAGATCGACATCTCCTAATGAGAACACTGTGGGCGCGTCATTTTAGCATCAAGAGATAGCATATCAACAGACAAAATTTCACACAACATGAAAATTTGAAAACTCATGTAGAATCTCGCTTTACGTGGAGGTAGGCCTTCCTTCTAGGGAAAGCTTTACTATCAAGAAACTCAAGAGTCTCCCGTAGAGGGAACAGAACACTGTCTCTATGCACACACTTTTCACGTGAAAAGGTTCTACATAAGTTTATAGTTTACCAAATTTTTAACTTTTATTGGTTTTAACAATCATTTGTGTGATTATATTTTTTATTAACGTTTTAATGAACAATGAGCGACGGCTAAAATCTCTTAAGGACTACTTAAAAGAGTGTTCTCGACATATGTCAAGATCAAAGTCATCAGAGCATCTTTATATTGAACATTTACAAAATAATTTTTTTTTTGTTGAAAAATATTTTCACTAATTTAGAGGCAGGTTAAATACGAGATTATTACTATCAAACTTAGAAAAGGAAGTATTTAAGATTGACGCACTTTTTATATAAAATTTAATATATATGTATATCTAATTTATTATTATTTTTATCTAATGAAGATTTGGTAAATTTTACAAAGGTAATGGCATATAATTCTGCCGGAGAGGGTCCGGAAAGCGAGCGATACTTGGAGAGAACTTACCGCAAGGCACCACAGAAACCGCCATCTTCAGTGAATGTATACGGAGTAAATCCATCGACAGTGAGAGTTGTCTGGCGCTACGTACAGCCAAGTCTAGAAGAAGAGCCGTTGATTGGATATAAAATACGCGTATGGGAGGTCGATCAAGACATGAGCACAGCAAACGATACGATTATACCGGGCGGCTCCAAACTGGAAGCTGACATCAAAAACTTAAGTCCAGGAAAAGCGTATCACTTGCGAGTGCTTGCGTTTAGCAATGGCGGTGACGGTCGAATGTCGAGTCCCACTCATACATTCCAAATGGGCGAACCTGCTGCGTTTAGAAGCACTGCTAGCAACAATAAGATTTTGGATGCTGCTTTGCAAATAACTCTTGTTGTTTTTATCGCTATGTATAGTGTAAAATAATTACTAGTAACTATGGCAAGCTAAAATAACAATAACAGAATATAAATTTTATGTAATGTTTTCAAACGCGTAAAATTCTAAAGCATTTAATGAAAACTATAAAGCAAAGTTGAAAATAGATTTCTCTTTGTTTTAGGTTTTTGGATAATTTTGAACAAATATGTATTCTTGACAAGTAAATATCGCTATTTTTTATAGTACGATTTAATTTTTTTACATCATTTATAATGTAAAACATTTATAAAACAGATTTGTCTGTTCATGTATAAAAAAACAAAGAGCACATTAGTAATCACATATGTTTAGTTATATAAAAACAAGATAAAATACTCGTAATTATAACTTTGCAATGCAAATTTATACACGGTTCCGTTTCGAAATTCACTGCAAATACTAGAAATCTATAATATATGTTACGAACTATAAATTTTTAGTACTTACAGTGACTTATTGTTCACGACTTGTCATATACTATGCACACAAAAAGTAAAAAAAAATAGATTTTGCAAGTATAACACAATTTGAAAATGAAAGAGTTAACAAGATTTATATTCTAGATATATGCAATATCTTAATTAATACGCTACGCGAGACTTATTAATATTAAAGAGAAAACTAAAAAACTGAGATAAAAAAATAAGAATTATATAATATAGTAGAGTGTAAACGAGAGCGTTATTTTCCGTCCATTAATACAAAAGTAAGAAATAGATTCTCGGAGCTTATTTTGACAATATATAATGTCTTAAATATTGAATTATGGTAATTATTTAAGAAAGTGGACTTTCTCACCGATTTCAAAAAGCTTGAAATATATGTTGTTAAGAACGTTATTCTGAACAACTTTTCCTTATACATCTTACCACCGCTCGGCTTTAGTTTTCAAGTTATAAACAAAAGAACTTTTATAATTGAATACTAATTTTCCAACATTGTGTCGATTTCTTAAGTTAATATGTTTTTTTTATTTTGTATAACACGTGTAAGCAAGGGGGGCAGCGCCTATACGCTTACAACGCGAACATAAAAAAAAAAATAATAATTTTGTGCAACAATTGATTTGAACTTGTGTTCGTTTCAACTCGAGTTTATTGAGGTTATCACGCATCACGTAACGCATTGTAATATATACGTAAATGCAATGGACTTAACGTTCTAACATGAAAACGATTGGAGCTAGATTTCCCATAACGTGATTACTTTCAGAGATAATCGTAATAATCGTAATAAACCTTCTTTTGTTTATAACTCGAAAACGAAAGCCGACCGGCGGTAACGTGTATAGGGAAAAGTTGTTCAGAATAACGTCCTTAACAACATATTTCGATCTCATTGAAATCGGTGAGGAAGTTCGCTTTCTAAATAATTACCGAAATTATACATACAATATATGTACATCACAGTATTAGAATACTTTTAGATATAAAGATTACAGGAGAGAACTTGATAAGTCACATTTTCGTGAGTTTAGAGGAGAGCGATTTTAAAGTTCGAAACGTATGTGTATTTGAACACGTTTTTTTTTATTTTTTTTTTTATAAAAGTGCTTATATCTTAGAATCTGTAAAGAATTTTTCTCTTTCGTCCTTAGATAAGGTAAATGTCCCAGTATCCAGACGCTTAAGGAATAGCGGCAAAATATCTACTGATTGAATGCGTACAAGTATCATAAAATTAAACAATTTTTTTGTTTTATTACAAGTTGATACAATCAATTATTGAAAACTGAAACAATAAACTTATTAATAACTTTCTGAATTACGTTAGATGTATCTCTTTGAATAAAAATACAAAAATGTGCAAATGCCCCAGTAAGCGGACAAAATGCATATATAACTAATAATTTTCAATGTTATATTATTATTTTACTTTATGTTAATAAATGTTTATACTTTACGATAAAAAGTTTTGTTTTTTAAAATTATATTAAAGATTAAGATACAAAATGAATGGAATTTGCATTATTGTCCGGATACCTGGATATGTCAGGATACTGGGACATTTATCTTAATTAAAATACTCCATTGTAACTAGCAAATGAAATGAAAAACAGAATCCTGCCATATCGAAAAAAAAAACTTATCGAGTTTTTCTCTCGTAGTCTTTATATGTGTATGAGAAAAGTTTTGTATAAACCACAGTGTTCACAAGTATACTGCATATAAGATAAATAAGAACTTGAGAAATTCTATTATTATTCTGGTATCAAACTTAAAAATATCTATCTTTAAGAAGTATATATTCTTATTTTAATACAATCTTTATATATTATTTTTTACATTTGAATAAAGTTTTTATGGGTAAATATTTACAAAAGGTCATCACCTTCCGAATTCAATAAAGTTAACATATGTTGTCAAGAACACCTTCCTGAGTAACAATTGTTAAAGAACCAATAAGATGAACAAGAAACACGCTTACGAGTTGTAATTTGGCGCGGCGCACGAATAGCACAAGGCGCAGCCTTCTGCTATTTTATCTTGCTCCGTTACTTTGACGAAGCATCAGTTTGCAATTTCTTTGCAAAATTTGTTTATCGAAAACGGAACGGATCGAAAAAGCAAAGTCAAAAACATATTTAAAAATTTGATATCTAAATTAAAGTGAAGTAAAACGCGTAATTAAAAGTTTTACGTAAAACTTTTCGTACGCGTACTTTATTTTCTCTTACGGGATGGATTCTAGTAATGATACTTAATCGCGTATATTCAAAAAATCAAAACTAAGTAAGTCGTAAAAATTAAAGAAATATCTGCTAATTATATTCTTTCCCGATATACTTTTCCGATAGAATGTCTCTAAAATTTCTTACTTTATCGTACAATTCTCGCAAAAACAATGTATTCTTTAATCAATATTAATAGATAATTAACAAAAAGTGAAAAAGTGGCAAAAGTTTAAAATAAAACAATTCGCGAAATATAAAACCGCGTACACGACCGCGATCGCGTGATTTCCTCGCAATTTGCAAGGTCCAGGGCGTCGATTTCGACGCAAGGCGAACTAATCGTTCGCAATTTGTTGAAAATAAGAAGTCGTCGAGAAAAAACCGGTCCAAAAATATTACATTAGAAAA